AAGGCTAACCTCACAGACCTGACCCTAAAACTAACCTAAACTCAATTCACACCTTGGTCCTAAACCCAGCCCTCGCACCCAAAATCAGCCTCTGAAGTTGTGGGGCCCAGGCTTTGGGCCCCACAAGGAGCACCTAGACCCCACGAGGCCACGTTTTCCTTAAAACTGGGCCCCACGATATAGGAAAAACAAGGACACACACACACACACACACATACAAAAAAAATAAAAATAATAATAACAATGTTCTCTATTAATCCCCAGTGGAGAAATTAGTTCTCTGCGTTTCTCCCAACACGTGGAGCAGTGGGCTGCCATGTGCCTAGGTAGCAGCTAGGGTTTGAGGGTCTTGCTCAAGGGCCTAAAGTTGGGCAAATGAAGGTTGACCACCCAGGTTTTTGTTGTGTCTGGGGAGTTGAACCAGCAAGTTGAACCATTTTTGTTGTGTCTGGGGAGTTGAACCAGCAACCTTCTTTAACCTTTGCTCCACCAGTTAACAGCAAAAACTATCAGTATTTGTCTGTCTTTATTAGTCTGTCATGTTCTTTGCTTCAGTTCATGGGATTTGCAGACATTAATTTTGTCCCTGTYCAGGGTGTACCCCGCCCCTCACACTGTGACTGCTGGATATGGGCACCAGTGACCCCCGTGACCCTGAAAGGCTGACGCTTGTAAAGACAATGGATGGATGTTTCCACACAACACTGCATTAAAATCAGATGKTTTTTTTTAGTTAACTACTGCAGCACCTCAATACCTTTTTTTAATCATTCTGTTGCAAATTTGCTGCTGTTTGGGATCATGATCTAAAATTTGACTCTAGAATCCTTTAGAGGAGTTCATAGTTTTCGGCATTTATATTCTGTCTTTGGTTTTAAACATAAAACAGAGCATTATGGGTAAACATCTCTGCTTTGGTCTCATTTGTTCCAAAAATGTTGTGGTTCATTTAGGTGCAACTTTGCAAACCTAAGTTTAGCAGCCATGTTCTTTACACAGAGAATATGTTCTCCCTTGTTAGCCCTTCAAACCAAGCCACACAGGACTTGTTCAGTCCTATCTAATGAAGCTACTAATTGTTAAGTCTTTTTTCTAACGTTAACCTGTTAATTAAGCCTCTTAGAGTCTGAAGACCTCACATGTCCTTTGCAATTTCAGAGCATTGCACAGTCTGAATTGGGGTGAAATTGTTCACTCCTGGGAAGATCTTCAGTTTTCATAAATGTTTTTTACTTGCGAACAACCTTTCTCACTGCAGAATGATCCACTGCCTAGACATTTCTTTTACCAAACTGATGGAAGTGTAGAATTTTCATTAAGGGGGTGATTATGTGTGGGCCACTGAAAAAGACTGGGGTGGTTTTAATAATCTATGTAACTTTACATTCACATGTAATGTCGTCAAATGTCCTTATTATAGAACTTTGGTCCTTTTCATTGAAAGTCAAATGTACATCTTTAATTTGAAGATGATACAGTGAACAACACAATTAGCAGAAAAAAGGTCAAAGTCATTTCTGGTAACAGAAATAGGACATATTAATGTCTAAAACTGGGACTCAAAAGACAAAATAGCTTAAAGTTGTTCATTGCTGTTTGTTTTCATGGTGACAGCCAGYAGCACTTGCAGAATCCTCATTCAATAGGGTGATACGCACCACTTTTGCACCTGTTATCATTTGCACACACAATCTTCCATTCCCATTTATAGCACAGGCATTTTTTTTTTTTTGCCTCAGTATTTGAGATCTTAATAAATCAAGCCTTAAGTTTCTGCAGCCTGATGGGAGAGGCCTGGACTCACAGTTCAGTGGATGAGACATGTCCTGATGGGTCTACATGTCCTTTGCGCCTGAAGGACGGGGATTCTGAATTTAGTTGCATCTCTCCTATCAACTCCCTGGACCAATCCAGTTCAGGCAATTCTTGTTGTTCAGAGAAACATTGCTGAACCAGGAGACTCATCGTAAGTAGAAAACTGATTCAATAAAAGCAGGATAAATCAGGGTCAGAGTCATGTCATTGTGAAAGGATGATAGTTCTCTGAGGCAAAACAGATGCTTGTTCCTTTTTTATGGAAAACATCACAGTTTACCTCAAAAGTCATTTCGATTTGTTTCCAAATTTCCTTTTTCTCTCAAAGGTCAAACATGTTGAATGAGTCAGCCACTGGGGGCAGTCATTTCTACACATAACAGATACAATTCTTTTTATCCTGTTGGTTCGGATGTTTTTCATGACTTTTTTCTTTCATTAATGTCGTGACGAGTCCTAGAATTTGAAATAATTCAAAAGACAACTTGATAAATAAAGAATTTCAATATTTTTAATTTAGAACCCTCTGTTCTTTGGTTTATTTTCTTCCTATGGAACAAATGACATTCCCAACAACATACATGAAACATCATCCTATCGGGATGGACTTGTTTGTTTGAATACAGAGCTATTCAACTGAAGGCCACTGTGCCACTTCCAGCATGGGTGACTTAAATCTGGCCTATCACTGAGTTATATAT